TTTAATATAGAATTTTATTATTATTATTATTATTACTATTTACAAAATATTACAAAAATATCTTTAGCCCTCTCTTTTCCTTAACCTCCTTCACAACTTCTGAACCTCATCTTCTAAATTTGCAACTCGAACTCGTAGCAAATTTCTTTCTATAACTACCTGCTTGTGGATAGTACTTCATTGCCATTCTTGCTAGATCACCTCGAAATTTGGAGGAGTCCTTTTACTCATTTTAGCCTCCAAATTTGCAACTTGATTTTGGAGGAAGAACAAACAACTGGAAATTGCTTGACTTTTGCTTCGGCAAGGCATCTATAAAGCAAAAAGTTAGAATATATATTCTAAATGATATATTTCAAATGATAAAAAGAAAAATATTAAAAACAGTTAAGCATTGGCCACCACCTAACTGCAAGAAAAAAAAAAAGAGAATAACAAAAGGGAAATTGTCTACTGAGGCCAAGACAGATAATCTGCCTAGCTCACCCAAATAGATGACCAGCCTTATTCTAAAGTGTCTTAATATTAGACAGGACAAGCTCACAGCCCAAAAAGTATACACACCTTAGTGGAAAACAACAGATAAAAAGACAAGTTTATTGACAAAAAAGGTTTTTCAACAAAGAAACTAGTAGAAAAAGAAAAGAAGATAAGAAGTTTGTAGACCAAAACACAGAAAAAAATTGAACAGAATAAATAACAAAAATAGAGACAACAGTAAATTGGAATTTATTGATAAACAAAGAACAATCACAACAGAAACAATGTGATTGCTAAATTTAGAAATAGATGAACCAACCAGAATAAAGTTACTAATTTTAGACAAATTAGTAAATAAGGTTCGGAGACCTCACTTTTTAAGGGGAGGAAGACACAAAGAACACTATAATTACAAAAATAGAATAGAATAGACATATGGCGATACAAAATTTTGCCAAATTTTAGAACAAAGAATTGTTTAACATGTATTGTAAACAATGTAGCCATAAATAGAATACAAAGAAAAGCATGTGTTAAACAAATTTAGCCACTACTAAATGTGAAATAGCATGGGTTAAATAAAATTAATAAGAGACAGCATGGGTTAAATGAATTACAAATCACTGTGCCAAAGATTGCTTGGCATAGGAATGTGAAGAGAATTTTAACAGATATAAAAAGGCCAAAAAAATGCCTTCTTTTAACATTAATTTTCTCTACATTTTGAACTAAACCTCTAATAACCTTAACAACAATGAACCCACCACAGGACTTACCAACATGGGTTACTCCACAAATTTATTACAAAGCTCTTGAATTACAGGATTTTTGTAAACAAATACAACACCTAGATACTATCATATATGAAGCCAATAGTACTACACTTATTCTCAACATGGAAACTTTATACATGTTGCCAACAACCCGAAATGATGATCTGTTGACCAAAATAAAAATAGATCTACTAAACACAACACCAAACCAGATTTTCTCAGTCACAGTGCCAATGACTATCAATACATCATGGGAAAATTGTTATATATGTGACTCTCGTTAATATCAACCTATTTGGATTGGGTAATTTGGTTGATATATGCGGGGGTTGATAACAAAGGGGGATCATATATCATAGGCAGAAATTCATCTGATTGGCTAATATAAATCAATTGCCCATGTGACTTTTTTAGAACTAAACATTACACTAATAAAAAATCGCCACAAACGTTATTTCTATGAACACTGTACAAAAGAATCTTAAAAAGATTATACTTCATATGAAATTTGCTTAGAAGAAACAATATATTAAATGGTTATTGGACTATGCGAAAATATATTATAAAGTAAAAGTACCGTCTAAAATTCTTTTATTATGTTAGTTCTAAATAAACTATTACTAACAGCATAATTTGAATAGGTACAAGCACTTTATTAGTAAAAGATCCAGATTTAATATTTAGATCTAGTCAGCTTTTGTAATGTGTTCTGGTTTGTCAACTATAATTAAAGCTTGGGATTATATATTATAGATACTTCAATGAGTTTGAGTTTATCAGTAATAAAGATCACATTTACCTACTTTACACATATTATCTATTTTTTAAATATATGCAATAAATTCTTTTGCATATATTTATGCATTTATGAGTTTTCTTTTTGTATTAAACTGATGAACTTTTTTTGAAAATTATTGGTTAATTAGCAGTGTAATCACGGGTAAATCTTTGAAAATTAACCAATCAAACGAATTTCTCTTACATATGTATGTATAAAGATCGTATTATGTTATTCTGGTCTTATTTTGGGCGTCTTAAAACTATTTTTGAGTCACTATTTTTATTTCCTTTAGTAATGTAAATACTATAAGTTCAACAATAGCGATAAAGCTATACAATCCCATATTGTTATATAAAAAAGAAAAAAAAAATTTCTAAATGTAAAAAAAAAAAAAAGATCTAATGTAAAAAAAAAAAAAAAAAAAGCAAATAAAAAAAAAGGCAAGTATTACAGTCTATTTTACTTTATAGTATTCTTGACTAAACTATTTCTAATCAAAAATTAACCTATTTTTAAAAAAAATCGGTTACTTTTTTTTGCTTTTTTGATTGAGAAATATTCAAACGAATTCGTTTTAACAAACTCCGCAATTGAGGTAAGTCTTGGTCTGTAACAAATTTAATTGGTTCTTGTTGTTCTACATATTGTATAAGCAACTTACATTGCTCCAAAGCAACAGAATGGGAAATTTTTTCAATTTTAACATTGTCTTCATCATTGCTACTATTAGAATCAGATTGAGGATGAATTTCTTCAAGGATAGCAGCTTCATCCAAAACAACCTCTTCTATTTCAAGAGTATCATCAATTCGAATGTAATCATTAGCAGTCATTACCTTTGTATAATTAGAGAAGATTTCAGAAATAAGACTTTCAACATCTGCTTCAACTTCAACTTCACTTTCAGTTTTAGCATCACTTTCAGCATTAATCTCATTTTCAGCTTCAACTTCATTTTCTGTTTCGACTTCTGTTCTGGCTTCAATATCTTTAACATTCCAACTTAATTGACTCCACTCACTTGATGGCACAATTTGGGTTTTTCTCCAGCAATTTATGATCGTTTTGGAGGTTACATTATCCCATGCTTTTATAACGAACCTAATTGCAGTGATATTAATTTACTAATTACTTTTTTTTTTCTTTATTTTTTATTTTTTTTTTTTTATTTAATCTTTAATTTGTATACTATCTTATTGCTTCTAAGATATTAAGGCGAGGTATTTCTTCCTCAGCGTTGATTGCGTCTACAATATTTTGAAGATATAATTTTTGATAGTAAGATTTAAACGAATATATAATCCTGGCATCACATGGTTGCAAATAAGGGCTTGTATGGGGCGGTAAAATATAAAGTTTAATATGAGTATATTCATTATTTGAATGAGAGGATGCACCATCAATTAACAGAAGAATTTTTTTTTTTTTAGTCTACACGAGGTATTCAAGGATTTTACCCAACGTTCAAAAATAGCACTTGTCATCCATGCTT